GGGAGCGGCTGGGAGTGCATGGTGCTTACCACGGCACTGCCCGGGAATGCCAGCACAAGGACGAAAATTGAGAAACCAACATTAGCTGGCACCTTCTTGAGACCACTGGTCAGTGAAGCTCAGGCAGAGGGTTCTGATTTCTGACGCAATCAAGCTAAAATATCTGGAAAAAAGTGAAATCTTGTCAGTCTTGAGCACTCCTGGACCCAGCCTGGCCATGCGGCCCAGGCAGAAGAGCCCAAGGGCCAGTGAAAAGGAAACCACCGCGAATGAGGCTTTACTAAACAGAAGCTGGATCCCTACAGTAACATGTTCTGGGAAGGCCAGCAGGCCCAGAAGGAAGACGCCCGGGCAGGGCAGGTGCCGGGCCGGCCCCGCGAGAGGCTGCCTCAGGATCCTTCGCTCAGCCATCACTTAGATCCTCATCCCCTCAGCGCAGGCTAACAGGAGGATCTGACTCAAACAGATTTCCAGCCGCACTGTGAACATCTCCCGCAGCATTCATTCCCTTTGTAAATCTTTGCCTTTCATCATTAATAATTAACTTGCAATACTTACAGATGATAATAAAAGGCCTACAAAACTCTGTACAAGGCTGTAGAGACCCATTTAATTAACTAACTTCAAGGAAACTTGTATTATTAAGCAGATGCTATTTATGTCTTCTGTCAGGGACCAGGCTTGCATCAGTGGGAACCGCCAGTGTGCAAGACAGGCAGTAATGCGCTACTGTTTGCCACAAAATAAAGTGCTGATGTGCCCTGGTTTGCCTGGATTGCACGGCAGGATTTCAGGGATCCCGCGGATGCAAGGGTCAGTTCTGCCCAAGCCCCAGCGTCTGGCTGGGGTGCAGGGTCCCTTCGGCACAGCCCCTGCAGCCACTTCAAACACCCAGACCCGGGTGCACCCCACTGCAGAGGCTGGGGGTTGTGCTGGCACTGCAGTCCTCGGACACAGATCTCTGCCCAGCCTTAACCTGCGGTGGAAAACTGACGCCCTGGCGCGGCCGAGCAGGACACTCCCTTTCCCGTCCCTGCTCCCAAGCGGGGACAGGGCAGTCGGAGGAGAGGGGGGAAAGGCACTCTCCGCAGGTGACACGGCCCTTCCAGTGGCCAGGGGCATGCTGCCAGAGCAGGCATGGGAAGCATCCACCCAAAGCACAGCCATGCCCGCTGTCTCTCTGACTCCAAACCAATTCCCAGGTTTTCATCCCATTTCTGGCTGAATTGGGAGGTTCTTTTCTGCTTCTGTGGGTTGAATTAGTGCTGTTCATAAAATGTTTTCCCCTGCAAAAGCTTCCAGACCTAGAGAGGGCAGAGCACTCGTCCACCTACTGCTGCGAGGCAGAGCGGACACCTCTGAGCAGGATGCTCAGCTCAGCTGACAGCAGGGAGTCCCTAGGCTCTGGCATCAGCCCACGGCTGTGGGCACGCAGCGACGCTCTGCCTGCTTTGCTCCGCAGCCTAGGGGACAGCGTCAGAGCCCATCACAGCTGCCCATGAAGCCAGTGAAGGCAAGATGCAGGATGCTCTGCCAATAAAACTGCAAGGCAGGAAGCAGGGAAGAGAGGCTAAAGTAGCAACAGATGCTTTAGCATCAGTCCTGCACGGATGGCAGGTCTGCCTGCAGGCTCAGTCTGCACCTGCTGTTGTTCTGGTCTCTAAGTTCCCACCCCACTGCTGGGCTCCAGCAGTAAAAGGAGGGACTGGGGCCTGCACAAAAGCCAGCACAGGCTGAGAGCATCAGCAGGGCAGCCCAAGGGCTACACTGCTTGCCCTCTCTTGGCTATGGCTCTCTTCATCAAAGCTTTTCATTTCTTCCCCTGAAATTGTCTTGTCAAGAGAGCCTTAGAAACATTGAGCATCATTTGCTCTGCGCTTTAGTGGAGAATATTTGGTTTTGTTCACCAACTGTGGTGTCAAGACTCAGTGAAGTAACTCTTGGAGTGTAAGGGACATGCCTGGAAAAGTTTCCTTCAGCATAGCAGATGGGGAAAGTCACCTTCCAGAAGTTGGGCACTGGGTGTGAGCTGTGTTCCAGTCTCTAAAAACAAGCAATAAAAGCTCCTTGTGGGGTTGCTAGAACATGTCGGCTTGTATAAAAATACCCATGGATTTCACCAGTAGGATGATAGATGCGAAAATGCTGTCAGCTCTGGATTAAGACAGTGCACAAGTGTCCATCCACCCTGTTAACCTAATAACCATATGAAATGGCATCATTACATTTTGACTCATTTTACAAAACAGTGCTAGGAAGAGCCACATCCACCTAGGCACACTGCACACGTCCTAGGAGTCCTTGCCTTCCCTGGCACAGGGGACGGGAAGCCCTGCTCTCTTGCCACGTGGAATGACTTGTTTGGCAGCAGCCCAGCGATTCCTACATGCCACCTGAAACCTCAAGGTTTCAGAGATTTGGTCCGGTTTGGGGCCGGCTGGCTGTCTCCTTGCCGGGTCAGTGCTCTGCACCTCTGCGGGGGGCTGCTTCACACCTGCACACCTCGGCCATGCATTTGGATCACCTGGGCCCGGAGAGTGTGGATCCCGCTCAGGATGGTCTTCTGGTGCTCTGCCAGCGTGATCCCCAGGCTGAGGACATCTCTGCAAAACGAGCCCCGCGTCAGCCATGAAAAACAAGCCCTAACTGTAAAGTGCCGCGACACCGACTGCTCCCAGGCAAGGGCAGTGCAGGTTTCAGACTATCAGGCTACTGCAGACCTGCCGGAGTAAGAAATCCCCAACTTGTCCCAGTCAAAGCAATACAGACCCTGACTGCGAATCCAGGGGTAACACGTGCCTGCAGCACACCAAGCGTGAGACAGCTCCTGGCCCTGCCGCCCTGTGCTGCCTGCATAACAGGTTATAGTAAATTGCATTCAATTTGACTCTGCTTTCTGGAAGGGACAGGCAACACTACTCTTGTCAGAAACTACAGGTTTAAATCTCAGCTTCAAAAACCAGCAACTGAGATGCACAACACACGCAGCCCAACCCAGGCCAGCGAGCTCTTACAGACGTGTTTTGGAAGATCTGTCCTCTTGTTTAGTGACACCTGACTGTAACTGCAAAGCAGAGCTCGCTCACACTGCACCCAGCGACATGAGGTTATAGCCAGGAAACCAGTTCACTTACTGGGCTGTCATCCTGGCCACCGATTCTAGGTAGCAGTAGCCCCCAGCGGTGAAGTTGTCTTTGTACCTGCCCATTTCTATCGTTTCCAGCCACTCGCCCACGGAGCTGAAAGATGGGAAGGCTGAGAAGGTACGCTCGGTGAGGGGGATGGATGTGCTGTGGGACCTGCCAACAAAACGGGGCGGTGAGGAGGGAGCAAGCATGGCACACCCAAGGTGGGAACTGGCAGACAAAGCAGAACAACAGGCAGCAAAGCAAGAGGGCAGTCACCTGGTGCACGTGGAGCTGGGGCACTTCGGGGGCTCCGGGCTCTGCACCATCTTGCTCAGGATGTTGTGGATGTGCGAGAACTTGGGCCTCTGGCTGCGGTCCTTCTGCCAGCAGTCGAGCATGAGCTGATGGAGGGGTGGCTGGCAGTTCACCGGGGCGGGCAGGCGGAACCCATCCTCCACAGCCTTCATCACCTGCAGCGGCAGAGGAGGGCAAAGGGGACGGGGTCAGGCGCTGCGATGCAGATCGCAGGCAAACCCCTGGCGCAAACCTCCCTCCTCACACCCGGCCTGGGGAGCAGCAGCAGCTCCTCCGCACACCACGGAGCCACCTGCACACCATTAGCAATGACAACATCTTCATCTACCGCATGGCCGCTGGGGACTCACGTCCTGGTTGGACATGTCCCAGTAGGGTCTCTCGCCGTAGGACATGACTTCCCACATGACAATGCCGAAGCTCCACACATCGCTGGCCGGACTGAAGTGGTGATACTGGATGGCTTCAGGGGCTGACCACAGCACCAGGCTCTTCCCATGCTGGACGGGCAGAAGAGGAGAAATGACACATTCACACAGCAGGATGTAGCCAATGCACGCGATTCCCCGGTGGCTGTTTGTCATGCCCTGCCCGGCATCGCAGGGCAGACGCTGAGCAAGCCCGCATGCCACGAGCTGGTTCAGTACTAAGAGAAAACTTTTGCCTCAATTTGTTTTAAAATGGCCATGCAACCGTATGCTTACATGGGAGTGTGAGTCCTGAAATATTAATGGGAGAGGAGAATGTCTCTGGGAAGAGCTGATGGCATTTTATACATTAATATTTAATGAAAACCATTTCAGAGCTGTGCAAACACACAGTCCCTCCACCCTGCCTTGCTCTCCTGTAATTAGCAATCCCCATCTCAGCAGCTGCAGAGCCCTCTGGATGCACTATGGGAAGCAGGTGACAGACACCGCAGCTAATTGTAATTAACAGCAGGGAGACCTTGACCCCAAAGCCACAGCCCCACTGCACCGCAGTGGGAGAAGCCAGGGCTCCTGCTGGGCTCTCCATCCCCCTCGCTCAGCAGGCTGCTCTGTACCCAGCTGCACGCCAGCGCCAGGGCAACTTTGCTCAAGAGCTTTGCAACACAACAGCCACGGCCGAGCTACAGCTCTGCAGGCAACGCTCGCCACGTTCAGCAAGGCGGGGGGGGGTCACGCTGTGCCAGGGACTCTTCGGGATGGTGGTGCTCTCCCTATGGAGCGCACTGAGCATGCCTCCCTGCAGTTAGTGATAACAGCTGAAAAAGTTTTCCAAGACTCTTTCTGCCACCAGCCTGCTCAGAGCTGGCAAATAACTGCAGCTCCTGGCAGAGCACGGGCCAAGCCCTGCAAACAGGCGCTTCCCGCTGGGACGCCCACACCCTGCACTAGGACACAGGCACCGGGTCCCTACAGGCAGTATACATCAGCTGCTGCCTCCTTGGCACTGCCCAATGCTCCCTGCAAACAGTAAGTGCTCATTTGATTGAAGAATCAATGCTCTTTAAAATATTAATGCCTGGTTAGTGTGATGCACTAACAGCCCCAGCTGATACCAGGCAGCTGTGGGATACCAAATGAAATATGTCTTATTGCTCTGCAGTTAAAAACGCATTGATGCACCCTCAAGTGAAACGTGCCAAAGCGGTGTGTGAAAGAAACCAGGAGGGAGAGCCGGCTCCAGCGAGCGGCTGCGGGGCCTCGGGGGCCCATGGGGTGCCTGCCCAGCCCGGCAGGCAGGGGCAGCCCCCCGGCTCCGCACCCAAGGGCTCCCAGGCAGCTTCTCCAAGCGCACACAGGCACTCCGGAGACACACTGGCTAGCAGAGCTGACGAGGCATAACTGTGAATCAAGCAGGACTTAAATTCTTAATTGAAAACCATGAATTTCATTACAAGTGGTAAAACAGACATAAGGAACCCTGAGGCTGCCAGGGCTGCCTCCAGCCACCCACTGCCGCTCTGCCAGTTCACGCAGACATGCAGCAGGGCTGTGGCCAGAGGAAGAGCAGTGCCGGGCAGCTGCTGTGAAGTTCCCTGGCTAAACACATTTGATTTCTAGCTGAGAAAGAAACTGTTAAGATGCAGAGCCCGCATTCATACATGAGGAAGGAAATAGGAGCATAGGAAAAATGCTGGTTCTGGAGTAAGATTACTGTATGTCATATTAACTCCACCTGTGGAAGCTTGGCTTTGGATTTGATCCTTATTCAGTATTTAGAGCAGGCTGCAAACCTCTCTAGTGATGCCAGGCCCCAGACCAAGCGCTCCTGGCCACGGCCGTGCATTGCAGCCAGGGAGATCCACCTCTGCAGAGGTTTTGTAGCCATCTGTCAGCATTTTATTTTCAGGGAATGTTGGCCACAGAATTTGGAAATGCAGCTTACCATGGTGGAGAAGATGGTCTCCATCTTATCTTCTTGTGGCCGTCTGAAACCAGTTATTTTGCAAGCCAGACTGCTGTTCACAAGGACTTTGTGGGCAGCAAGGCTTTTATGTATGTAACCCATCTCTGCCAGGTACTTCATGCCAGAGGCAATCCCCTGCAACATGCAAACAAGCTGGGTGGCGGTGAACTGTCCCTCATGTTTCTGTAAAAGAAGAGGAGGAAACACCGAAGGTGAGTAATGCCCAGTTCAAGGGGGCACTGCCAGCAGAGCCCGAGTGGGTGGCAGATCCCAGCAGTTACCACCAGCTCCACAGCACTCACCCTGAGAAAAGAGTCCAGCATGCCGTTCCCCATGTACTCCATCACTATCATCATGGTACTCCCTGCACGGACAGACAAGGAGCACTGCGTGAGTCCTGCCCATTGCTCAGGCAGTTCTAACACTGCAGGTGTTAGAAATCCCAGTGCTAACCTCCAGCATGGTCAGCCTGCGCTGCCTGGCTATTAAGGGAGACAAGGACTATCTCAGACAGTTTGCAATGAGCAGTGGGGTCTGAGGCTTTCCTGTCATTCCTAGCTGGGATCCCACTGCATCCCAATATCAGATGCTCCTTTTATCAAGACACTGAACCACATCACAAAGGAGGACAGCACTACCCAGTGAAAGCAAAAGCAACCAGCTCAGCCCAAGACTCAGGACAGAAATACTTCCTTACCTAATAAAAAGGCTAGTTAAAATCAGCACGCGTGCTCACGTTTCTTTGGATTTACATGAATATCCATTTAACTACAATATCCACAGACTAGTTCAGCGCACACACTCCCATGAGAGCCAGGAGCAGTCAGAGTCATCTGTTTTACTGACAGAACCTCACTTCAATTTGCTTTTATTAAGAGTGCACAGTTTTGCTGCTAAGCCAGTCCTACTACCTAGATTTATTAATCTAGCTGTGAGCATTTTATTAATCATCAGAATGCTAAAATAGCTAATACATGAAGAAACACCTGATTTCCAGAGAGCCAACAATATTGCACCTGCAGCACCAGGTCATCACTCCAAAGCAACAGCTTAAGCACACTGCCTGCACAGAAGCCTTCCTCAACTGCGCATGGCTCAGGCTGCCCCATGTCGTACAGCCCGGGACCCCCCTTACCTCTGGTGATGACCCCCTCCAGGCGGATGACGTTGGAGTGATCGAACTGGCCCATGGTGCATGCCTCTGTCAGGAAGCAGCGCTGCTGCTTCTCCGAGCACCCTGCCCGCAGGGTCTGGATCGCCACCGGCAGCTCTCGCTTGCTGGGCAGCTTCAGGCATCCCCGGCAGATTTCTCCAAACTCTCCTGCGCAGCAGAGACATGAGTTAAACAGCATCCATGGCAGGACGTCCCTCGCAGCCTGCTGCTCAGCACCGCGCCTTCCCAGAGGACCCCCTGCAATCGCGTTCACACCACTCCTTTGTGCGCTGTCACAGATCCCCCTGCCATTTCCAGACCATGAAAGAATGAGCTACCTGCTAGCTGACTTCACAGCTTCCTCACAGCTTTCACTATCGTTGTGTAAGGGCGATGTTTTACTGAGCTGTTGCAATGCACTATAAAGACAGGTTTTACATATATACACACACCTGCTACAAAGCAAAGGGCAGCAGTCCTCTTCTGGGAAGTCAGCTTCCCTTTAGGGGATATTTTCTTTGCTTTGGGACCATAAAGTGCATTTCTGTAGCACGAGTGATGTATCCTGCTGTGTAGACAAGCAAGACTTTCCCATTGTTCATCAGAGGATTTGCCAATCCATAAACTCAGAAATGTGCGGAGCCCTGCATGGCTGCGAGTTTCCCCCGCAGAGTCTGTTTTACCATCTTCCCCCACCTTTGCTGAACACACAACCCTTCACACATGCATCAGCATGTGATACTAAAAATGTGTGATAATGCAATGCAATTTCTTCTTCCTCTTCCTACACCTCTAAGCCTTTCTCTCCACCCTCTGCTCAAGTGCATATTGTGCTTTTTCCCATGAGAAGATGATTAACCCCCAGCCACCGAGTTCATGCCCCCTGTGCCTGGCCCATTCCGCTTCCCAGCTCGGCACATGCAGGGTCTGCTTCCCATGGAACAGAGCACGGCAGGGCCAGGAGGGTTTCTGCAGTCTCTGAGGCAGAGCATCCCACTCTACACAGCCATGCGCTTGACAACAGGAGCTACCAAATTCATAACGTAAAAGGCCAATATTGGCTTTACAGCAAAAAATGAGTAGCTATGAAAAGCTTTATTGATTTGAAAGCCAGGTACTTGTTAGGTCAGCAGTGAGACAAATGTACTCCCAAATTCCTTACATTTAACTGTCTTCCTGACTAGTTTTTCCTGATTTTTCAAACATCAATTTGCTTCTGAAAGGTATTGGGATTAGTCTCAGCTGCTCCACTCAGCAGCTACAAAGATAACCTTCTCTTCTCCTCAGTGTCCTCTTCCCTTCAACACTGTTCTTTAAGCTGGTGGGCAAGCCCTCCCCTCTTCCCTTCCTGCAGCTGAATTTGTCTTTAGGAAAAGAAATGACAAAGAATAATTGTGTTTTCCATGTTCTGGCACACATTAGCGATTAAGGCTCTAGGGCCTAGTGAGGGGATTTTAATTTGCTTTTAAGTTTTAGGCAGTGAAGTTGATGAAAATCAATAAATCATTAGGTTCACATATTTATAAATAGTTTTCATGCTGCTGTCAAACTGCCCAGATGCAGATAATTGCTGATGCTTTGTGGTCTGCTCCTCACTCAGTTGGCTGTACTTAGCGCCTCAGAAAAACAAACAGGAATCTGAAATCAAGCTCTTGAGCAAAATACTCACCAGCCCCACTCCCATTTCCCTGCTGCGAGCACGCACCTCCCTGAGACAAGAGCAAGAGCAAAGGTCTGCGGCGCTGACGGTGCCGGAAGACAAGGAGCTGCCTTAGGAGTCGCCAGCAAGGCGGGCAGAGCCCGTGGGCAGCAGCGGGAGGGCCGGCACGCGCCCACCGCACTGCGGGTTGGGCAGGACCGCAGCAGCAGCGTCATGACGCTACCGTGGCCCTGCGTGCTGGGGGCGAGAGGGGAGTGCTCGGGCCGGGACAAGCACAGCCTGTGGCACAGCCACCGCCCCGCGGCACGCAGAGGGGCCGGCGGGGAGGAACTTGCCTGTCCCAATGATCCTCTCAATTTTAACACTAGCGTTATCCAGCTCTTTGGCAAAGAGGTGCACAGCCTGCATCGGATCTTCGCAAGTGTCAGGGTCGATGTACGTCCTCCTGGTTGGTATTTTAACTGTGGGAAAGCAGGAAATGCACAAAGGTGAGGAAGGCTTGGCAGAGCTCCCGCCTGCCTGTCCCAGGAAACGCTCTTGCAGGTTATCCACCTTCAGGTCTGCTGGCAGGATTAACTTGCCACCTTTTTATAAGCAAAGCAAAAGACTCGACTTTAAAGTTGCTAGGAAATTTCTTACGGGATTAAATGAACCTAATCGCTCTGCTCCACTGCCACAAGCCCTGGGTTAAAGGAAAGCAGCTCCTTCACTCTAGTGCAGCTCCCTTCCAGACTGAGCCTATCTGCCACCCGTGCTAATCCTCGAGTATCCAAATCATCTCTGTTCCCAAGACCTCTAGGAGAGATAATTATAATAATGAACAACAGCCATGTTCCAGGTCCCCTCAATTAGCAGCATGGGCAGCAAAATACCTCCCACAGGCGCCTACCATCTGCTGCACGGCAAGCGACCCTGCCCGGGAGCACGTCCAGGAGAACCGCGTGGAACGAGGCCGACCCACTTACAGCAGCCCCTGCAAAGCTCCGGAGGGGAAACAGCCGCCTGCTTGCTGGGGCTTCCTCAAAACCCTAATTCACATCTCCTGAAAACAAACAGCCAAAACAACGGATGAAGCACATCAGCTCTGCCGCTCACCGGGCCCCTGCTAGAGCACTGCCACGTCTCCTCCTCTCCCTGGGCAAGACAAGGAGGACGATGGATGTTTTGCACAAGCTGCTTGGCCCGTCCAGGACCAGTACACAGGCAAACGGCAGAGCCCTGCTGCGCCCGGGAAGGGGTCACACCACACAAGGCTTCCCTTCCACCTCGGTTCTATTCGCCTTCCCAAGACCAGGCAGCTGCTGCGCTCCCCTCGCCCTGCAAAGAAAACCTTCGGCAAACTCCCAAGGGCAGCTCAGCAGCGCGAGGCCCTTCAAAGCCAGGAGAAACAGCCAAGCTGCATCCGAGAAGCACGCAGGCTCTGCTGCTTCTGAAATGCTTCAGGGAGCAGAAGAGCATGTGTGCGCTTCATGGGCATATGCCAGGAATCAAACAAACTCATCAATCCCGACATCTGAATTTCCTTTGACAACTGCTGTCTGTAAAATTATTGCTGCTCAATAATCAAGAGTAGCCCCAGAAAACAAAGCTGTATTCTCACGTAGCCGTTTGTGAGAAGCATACGCCCCATGGAAAGCTGAAAGCATCCCCACTTCCTTCGGCACGGCAGTGACCTGTGTGCCGGAAGGATGTACACTGGCTTATGAAGCTGTCAAGCCCGCCATCCCCAGAGAGCCTCGCTGCGCTGAGCCCTTGCTCTGGGATAATGAAGGATGACAACACTTCAAAAGCAAGGATTCAGGGGTGCTTTGTCAGGAGCTTGGTTATTAATAGCAATAAATACAGGCATCCCCACACAGTCGTACCGGCCACAGTGGCCAGGCTTCACTTACAATGGAAGTACAGCTCCTCATCCCCATCCTGGCTGGTTTTGCTGTACCCACACTGTCTGCAACGAGAATGAAGATGCACATCGTTATCTGGACAGCAGCCTCTCACTGGGTATAAAAGTCTCGAGTCGCAGCGCTGAGGAACAGAGTCCAGCCCCACGGCACAAGAAGCCAGCAGGCAGTTCAATCCAGCTCCCACGCTTAGAGCCAGTGCTGCCCCGTGCTCCCGAGAGCTCCTGCTGCAGGGCTTCGCTTCAGTCCTCCTCCCCTGCCCCAGCCCCAAACCTCCTTGATCCGTGCCCTGGCTCAGCCATGGCTCCGCTCACCTCCTCCAGACCATCACGCCGATCACCATGGACACCAGCACCGTCAGCCCCGCGATGGCCACCACCGCGATGATGAGGACAGGGTTCTGCTCACTGGAGGCCACCGTCACTGTGGGAGGGAAGCAGAGCCACTCGGCAATGCGCCCTGGGGCAGGTCCAAGGCATGGGGCAGCCCCGGCCGCTCCTCCCAGAGCCAGACCGCGTCCTCCAGCAAGGCTGTGGGACGATTCACCTGCAGCGCCAGGCCACTTTTCACCATCCTCACAGCAATTCACCTTCTGGTTCAGTTTTAAAAGCTCGAGCTGGTGCAATCAGACCAACGTGCAGGGCAGTGCTCCAGGCACAGACAGAGCAACCCCAGCGCTGCCTCACTGGGCTCCTGGTTTTGTTAATCGGTGCTGAGGAAAGGTTCTCGTTTATCGGAGGGACGTATTAAAATTTATGGCTTACAAATAGTTTTCCTTCATCACATTAATCCCTTCCCTTCCTGCTTTTGCAAACAGGGGTATTAGAAAGCTACATTCTATATAAAATTTTTATTGGCTTCAATTCATTCTGAAAATGTCTTCTGTGTGGCAAATGGATGCAATTTAAAGCCCTGTTAAACACAATCTGTGAGAGTCGTACTGAGCCAGCCATCTCAGGGCTTTCATTTCTAGCCAGGGTGGGTTATTAAGCTGAAGCCCTACCATCTCTCCAAGCCCTCTTTTAGTCAGTGAAATAAGATGCTTCTGGACTATAGTTATGAATGGAAACTGTGACAAGGAAAAGCCCCAGCAAATAACACTGATGCTGGCTGACCTTACTCAGCCAAGCAGCTAACAAGCCAAGTGCCTCATGAGCCAGGATGGCAGTGGGGGTAAGCAGTCATCTCCCATCTGGGGCATGCATCCAAGGCCAGCTGGATCTCCAGGCTGGTCTTGCCTCTTCTGCTACAGCCTGTGCAGCTGGCCAGCCCGTCTCTGCAGCACGCACTGTGGGCTGCACAGTTTTGCAGACCCGGGCAAGATAGTGCTCTCAGCAGTTACACCGGCAGGGACCAACACACGCTCCCTTCCAGCCCCTGTTTGGTGGCCCCACAAAAGGGACCTGGTGAGATCTGTTCCAGCACCAACACCACTCCGAGGCAAAACAACCCCCAGTCGCTCTGGCTGTGGTAAGCACTTTCTTGGGCAATCTCAGTCAAAGAGCAGAGACTCTGTCCCCAGCCTCTGCCCCAGACTGGAGCCAGAGACTGGCTGCCCTCACTGATGTTGCACTGAGAAGAGTGTGGACAGACACCTCTAGGACAGGCAGGCCACCAGTGGCAACCTTGTTAAAATCAAATAGGAAAATGCAATTAAAAGCAAGTCCTGTGAAGTATCTGCTCTTAGACCCGGAGCGGCAGAACCAGAGGAACAGATGCTGCTCCACAAAATGAAGAGCACCTGGGGCAGGAGCAGCGAGCAGCAGCATCCCCACAACTCAGCTCAAAGAGCCTCACATCTGCAGGTGTGTGTGTAAAAGACGATGAGCCTTGCCAACACTTACACTCTGCCAGCGTCTCCACTTCAATACTAGGGTTGTAGTTTCCATAGTCCGGTGAGGAAGATGTCCGGATTTGGAAAATATAGAGGGTGCCAGGCTTCAGGTTATTGACCGTCACGGCCGTTGATGTGGTTTTCACAGTTGAGTAACTTTGATCTCTCTGATCCTGTGAAATAATGAGATACCCAAGATCTAGCTGGACTGACAGCTGTGCCACGGAGCAGGCACAGCTGTATCTTCGCCTCGCCTTTGGGTCCCATCAGGACAGTCTATCTAAACATAAACCCTTCAACAGAAAACACATTTACTAAATGTCTCATTAATAGAAATTACATGGAAAGGTCACATGAAATGGCAGATGGAGCCAGATGATGTGCTATGAAGCCAGGCGGAGGATGGGTGGTGGGGAGCAGCTGTGCCACCCTGCACAGCTCCTTTCCTCCTGCCTGCCCCCGCACTGGGGCTCGGCTGCTGGCACTGTCTGGCCCCTTCCAGCTCCCTTGCTACGGCCACTCAAGCCCTGGAGTAAATACGCATGTATTAGCACATGCTGAGTAATCAAAGTTGGCAACAGTTTGCCAACAGTCCTGGTCCCCAGGATTTTATTCACTTGCCCAGCGACCTACAGATCCCTCTGCTTTGACTAAGGGAGAGTGCGACGGGCAGCCCCACTCCTGCAGCTGCTGCTGGAGGCGGTGAAGGCAGGGTGGGCTCTGCCTGGCCAGGTGGCTGGTGGGACCGCTGGGCAACTCGTGCCAGAGCAGCAGACCCCCATGCCTCTGCTCCCTGTGGTTTGCAAAGCAAAACAAGCCCCAGCCCTCCTGCCAGCTCCTGCAAAGCTTCCCGTGCTTCTGCACAGCCACCATCAGAGATCATTTTCTCAGCCGTGTCAGGTACTTCCAAACAAGTTCCCCAGCGAGAAGATGACGCCGGTGCCACCGCAGTCCCGGACCAGCGTTATCTGAGGCTACTTTCCATCGGCCCCAGCGAGCGTCCCAGCCCTGCGATCAGGCACAGGCAGCGGCCATTCACTGTGCTGCTCCCAGGGCCGGGGACGTCGCTGTGAAATGTATTTTCCATTTGATACGCTTTTCCCCTTGAATCTCCATAGTTAAAGTATGGCTTTAAAAGCAAAGATTAGGAACTAAGTTGATTTTCATGTCAACATCAAGAGCCTCATTTCCGTGAATAATTGCTAAACTATAGTTTGAATTCCCTACCCAAGCAGGACATTTCCTCATTTCACATACCCTGGGTATCTTGTTGCTGCAGCCCATTTGCACAGGAATTACTGTCTCAGGCTTCAGCGTTCACCCTCACCCACAGATTCCTCCTTTCAAATCTATCAGATGCTGAAAATCACATTAATATGAATCAGCTTCAAGGTAGCTTGTTTCTAAATACAGAACACCAACATGTCACCTGCACGGTTTGCTTGACATGTCATCAGTTTCATAACGAGCCTGAGCACACGCAGATAAGGTAATTTGCAGAACTGTGTCACAAACTGCATTTATTTTGATTTAGAGCATTGTCCCTGCTCTCTGCCCGCTGGTATTTCTTCTAAAATTCTCAACCCACCGCACCTGGTAAATAACAGCTGTTTTTAAAGTTAAGAGACTATCATAAAAATATTTGCTTGTGTCCCCTCCTGTGTGGAAGACCACTCACAGCTCACCGAAGTCACAGGTTTGGTGGCCCTCAGTCCTAAACCAGTGAAGACCACAAGGTCCAACACTTTCCCAGAGAGCAGGCTATGAATACAGGTGTCATCTCGTCAAAGATTTAGAAACCCAGTATGGTTTAGCAGTGCCTGTCTAGCTGGCTAATGGCAAGCACCCAAATCTCAGATTTCTAATGTCCTTGAAAAAAGCCATCCAATACATTTAAAAAAAAAAAAAAGAAAAAAAAAGTATTAAAATTATTAGCTTTACTCTTTCTCCCAGGGATATGTCAACATTAGGACTGGATGAAGTCTTGCTGCACAGATGGGGGAAAAAACCACTAATTAACATAAACTTTACAAATAATCCAAATTTCCTAAAACTTGCATAAGCAGACTGCATAACACTGTTGGAGAAGAAAAGACCTTATTGGGCCCTATTTGAAGCACTCCTCTTACTTTCAGGTGCTAGTAAAATCTTCGCAACAGCATCGTTGTGACACGCACTCTCTCCCTCTCCCACAACTCAATCTTCACACAGCGGGTGGTTGACTGTGGCCGGCGGCACACACAGAAGCCCCCGCACCGCGCTCCAGAGGGGCAGACTGGGCTGGCAAGGGAAGCACCCAGGAGCCGGCTGGGGAGAGCCGGGGCACGGCCGAGAGCCAGAGCCAGTCCCCAGAGCCTACCTTCTCGTAGTACTTGACCTCGTACTCGGTGCTGTTGGTGGTCGGGG